TTCATGCCCAAGTTGTAGGAGGCAGCCCTCTCCCACACTTCCTCTCTCTCTCTCTAAAAATCAATTTTTAAATATTTTTTTAAAATAAGTAAAAATCCTCTAAAATTCACCTGAATTCATGTTGTGAAGTTTTTACTGCACAAAACCAAGAATACTATGACACATCAACCCCTAACTCCAAGTGAGTCCAGAATGGAAGTATTTTTAGCTGGTCACTTTGCTGCCCCGAGTAACACTGGAGTTTTATTCTCAGGGAAGTAGGAAGAAATGGCTGTTGCATAAACAGCTGGTCTGTATATTGCCCCAGCAGATAAGAATCCATGAAGGAGACTGAGAGGTGGCAAGAAAGGTAGAACAAGGACAGTGTATGGTGTCCCCAAGAAGGGAGCAATCACCTGGGACAAATATTACTTAAAATCTGGGAAAGATAGGGGTGGGGGGAGAAGTCCAGTGGGATTTGCAACAAGGAGGCCATGAGGGACAATGACAGCTGTTTCTGTGACAAGGAGAGCATGAAAGCCCAATGGAAGCATGAGGTGAGAATGGCATATGAGGATTAATTATATTTGAGAAGTTGGGCCTTGAAAGAGGTAGTTAGGGGAGGAAAAAGAGGAGAAAAAAGGGATGGATGTCTTAGGATAGGAAATATTGTCTATCTTACTAAATTGTTTTGAGAATACAATGGATATCAAATTGCCTTAATATCTATTTTTTTATTTGATTTGATTTGATTTGTTGTTCCACTTATTTAACCATGGATTGGTTGATTCTTGTATGTGTCTTGACCAGGTACCTGCAACCTTGGCATATCGGAACAATGCCATAACCAACTGAGCAACCCAGCCAGGGCGCTTTAATATCTATTTTAAAACATTAAGTTTCAGGGCATCACAAGCCCATTTCTCCCAAAGCTACATAGCATAATGCATAGAACAACCTTTGGAGTCAGAAGGAGTTAGACTTGAATCTAAGTCTGCCTCTGACTAGCTTTATGACTTTAAACCATTGCTTAACCTCTCTAAATCCGTGTGCTCATAAGTAAAATGGGACAATCATGCCTACTGCAAAAGCCATGAAAGGACAAATGCATGTAAAGTGACTATCACAGTGCTTGACATGTAGTGAATCACCAATAAGTGGTACTAACATTCTTCTTGCAGATCAGATCTAACATTTATGTATCAAGAAGCTAAATGACATTCCCATGAGACACAGTATAACAAATGCTTAATAATGTTTGTAATTTCCTTTGAGCCAAAGCACAGGAAGATAGCAAGTCCCATATAGCCATCGTACATAATACATGCAACCCAAGTTACTCCTTCATGTTTCCTTATTTGTAACGTGGCGGAAAATCATGTACCTGCTTGTCTCTCTAAGGCTCAAAGTATTGCCAGAGGGCTGAGCAGCAGCTGAGCATCTGCCTCCTCCTTGAAATTCAGGGTCAGCAGGAGGACAGACCCCCGCAAGAACAGTCACAAGGGGAGATAGTTCTTTGCAAGGCAGATGGAAGAATAAATATTAGGCAAGACAATGTGTGGATGTTTGTGAGTGAAAAGGTATGTATCATGAGAGCTCTCATATTAACTGAGAGTTAACTTTATATTAGCATTACTTTATAATATTATGATTTTTACTTTTATTAGGCTTAGCTCTTTGTCTGAAACTGGATCTAGGGGAAGGGGTAGATCAGAGTGGGAGATTCAAAAGGTGTTTGCAGATTGAGGGAAGGATTCTAATTTCTCTCTCCTGCACAGCACCTTGAATGATTCTCCTGCCTCTCACAGACTGACTTAGAGGAGACGGGCTCATTTTGTGCTGGCTTACTTTCTGCTACACACTGAGCACAGCAGCAGAAAGAGCTCAAACACTGGAGTCAAACTGTCTAGAATCCAATCCTGGCTCCAACCTTAGTAACTGGATGACCTCAGGCAAGTTTATTAACCTTTCTGAGACTTAGTGTCTTCACCAGGAATGGAGACAATAAAGCCTACATCACAGTTTCATTATGAAGACTAAATTAAATCATGTATACAAAGGGCCTGTTCAGTGCCCAGCATGCAGTTGGGGCTCTTCTGGTCTGAGCCCTTTCTGCATGTATGTCATCTGTCATCTGCTCCCTTTCCCAACATGCGTGTGCCCCACACATATGGCTCTAGGGCTGTGATTAGCATATTTTCTTGGGTTCTCTGGGAAGCAGACTGAAATGGGGTTTCACAGGAAATACCCGTGAAAGAAAATAGGTAGAAAGAGGGTGGGACAGGGGGAGCCTTCAGAATAGGATGAAGAAGTGACTAAATCTTCAAACCAAGGGAGACCTGGAGCAAAACAGGCCCATCAGAGGAATCACTCATGGGGCAGAAATAACCCAGCCCTCCCAGCATCAGGTGCTCAGTCATGACCAGGTTCAGGGGCAGGGTCAGGGGCTTGGAGAGGGAGGTAGGGGGAATAGCCCCCAGGAAGCCAATCTCAAGCTGAGATGGATCCTAGAGAAAAGGGGTAGGGGCCTTTCAGCCTTGCAGTCCGGGCTGTCTTAAGATACCTCTCAAGTCTGACATGTTTCTGAAAACAAAATTATTTTTAACACACAATAGAAGTATTCCCGGTGCTGAGTTAGTGGTAGCAACTAAGGTAATGACATAGGAGGAAGGAAAAAAAAAAAGGAGAGAGGATGAGGAGAAGGGATGAGAAGAAAGGTGAAATAGGAAGGGTGAGGGAGAGTCTAATAGCCATAAACAGCATTCTCTGATTCCCAGCCTTTTGAAGTTGGCCCTGAGCTGGGATAAGGGCAGAAATGAACCTTAAGATGCACCCTTTCTCTCCCAAAGTGGGTGAACTGCCATCTTGAACATGCTTATCATTGCTAGGCAGGAGACAGAAAGGGCAAAAGGTCTCCTTAGCAAAGAAAGCTGGCCCACTGAGAAGGAAGGGAAGAGTGTCTTGTCAAGACATGGGTGAGAGAAAACTTGCATGCTTCTTTTAACCTTTAGTAAGGAAACCTTACTGAATGTAATGTAAGTGGACAATCAGTGGGTCCAGGCTGCTAGTCACTACTTGAGCCAATTAAACAAACACAGGTTTGAATCATATATGTTTATTCCAATACTGCTGGCAGTATGAGAGAGCAGCAGGTCATTTACAAAAATCTGCTCTGCAGCCCCAGATAAGCCAGCTACTTATATTGGGTAGGACAAAGATTACATGGGGAAGTAGGAATTACATTCATGGGGAAGTAGTCAAGGTGGGCTGCAGGGAGGCGGGGCTGGGGTAGGGACTCCATTGTTTGGGCAACAAGGTTGTTAATCTTTCCATGATAGTAGGCAGTTTTTTGTTTTTTTCCTCCCAAAATATATTTTATTGATTTTTGCAGAGAGGAAGGGAGAGGGTTAGAAAGCCAAAACAATTGATCAGCTGCCTCCTGCACACTCCCTACTGGGGATGTGCCTGCAACCAAGGTACATGCCTTTGACCGGAATCAAACCTGGGATCCTTCAGTCGATAGGCCAATGCTCTATCCACTGAGCCAAACCAGTTAGGGTAGGGGTGTCGAACTCAATCAGAGAAGGGGCCAAAATCTAAAATCCAGCCTAAATCGCGGGCCAAATGGTTTACTGAACAGTCATAAACTGTCATTGTGATGGAAACGCAGCGGAGTGCAGTGATGACAGCGCGGTGCGGGCCACATTGCAAGGCCTGGCGGGACGGATTTGGCCCGCGGGCCTTGTGTTTGACACATGTGATTAGGGCAGTAGGCAGTTCTTGAATGGGGATGGACCAAGTTCCAAGGTTGACTCTCAGGTCCTGGGAGTATCAACTCCCAGCCAGGTTAGAATGTACTTTCTTTAACCAGATTAAAGAAAGTACCACTGCTTGTTGAAGATGTTATTGGGCCCATTTTATAGGTGAAGAAACTGAGGTTTTGTAGTGTTTTTTTGTTTTTTTTTTTTAGTTTTGTTAAAGGTAAATAGTTTGCCCAAGACTATGCAAAAAAAACGGCATAGTCTTCATTTGAAACTGGGTCCTCTGATTCCCAAAATCCTGCCCTCGATCCCATAACATCTTATCCATGAGCCAGGTTGTCCCCTATAATTAAGCACACCTCTTTCTGAGCTCCAGTGTGACGTGTGAACTATCCAGAGCCTACCCTTCAGCTGAAGTTCTGTTGCAGTGGCAAGAGCATAGGCCAGAAGCACTGGGAGGTAGCCTGGATTCTGAGGTTAAGCAGTAGTGTCCTTGAGCAGGTCCCTGTAAACATTATCAACCTGGCTTTCCCAATTATCTTTGAACAGAGGAGATCAACAGTAAGATGATCTCTAAGAATCATTCCAGTTCTGTAGTCCTGGGAGTTATTCATTAACAAGGATGAATAATCCCAAATAATTCCAGGCTAAGTGGGAACTAGGTAGATAGCTCAAGGCGTTTGGACATGTCTTGTTTTCTAAGGAGAAAAAATGGCAAATAGCACAACTGCAGAATATTAAATCAATACAGGTTGTTAATGAAGAGTCAGAAAGGCTGAGTTTATTTTCCGCTGATTATGAAAAAAAACCTTTCCCATGCCAGAGGCAGATCTAGCTCTCTATTGGCTAGAGCCAGACCTACCTCTCCCAGCAGGACACACTCATTTCCCTCTTTATGAAGGAGAAGGCCTCACACGCCTAAACCTGAAATCCTTCCAGTTCAGATGTGCTTTGGGCCTAGGAGGCTTTTATTCCCTCTTTCATGCAATGAATCATGATTAATAATAGCCAGAGGGTGAGGAATTACAGTCATGCCTTATTACTGAAGATGCGTCTTCGAGATGATGACAGCAATGACAAAGCATTTCACCCTCGAATCCCACAGAAAGGCTGTCACAAGGTAGCTGGAAGAGCTGGTGAAGCACAGGCTAGTTAGTTGTGTTGGAGGATCCACTTCCTACTAAATTCGTGATTCAGCTCTTGGCCCCCAAGAAATGTTTATTTTATTTTTTTAGAGAGAGAATTCAAAAATTACTACGGTGGTCATTACCAAGGCTTTTAGAATGCAGTTTCTCATTTGCTGTGGACATGACTACAAAACATTTCTCCAATAGGTTTTTTTCCTGCTATGTTGATAGCATAGCATTCAGCCTACTAGGAACATTTTACCAACCTTAATTTACATTGCCAGATCACTGTCCACTATAAATCTAACAGGAGGTTTTTGTAATAGCTGTTGGTAATCAGTGAGATTTGATGATATCCATCTTAGATGTCTGGGGCCTTGATGTCCTTTGTCTAGATAAGTTACCATACAGCTTGTGATCATGATAATCTCTATTCCTGTTATATAAGACTGACTGAGACTATCCGGATTCAGCTGAAGCAAACAGGATCAACGATCTTTACTCCGATACTCTTGTCCGTTATTTCCGGCAGATGTTGGAGAAAAGAGAAAAACAAACGACTTTGGACAGGTTTTTCATGAAACCATCGGCCAAAAAGCAGAAAATGGATGAAGATGTGCAAGATTCGGTAGACTCTACTTAGTCTGTCTTAAAATTAAAAAAATGTGTGTGTTGTTTTTTTTAAAAAAATTATGTTTTTAGATGTATCTAAATAAAAATAACAAAAAAAAAAAAAAGACTGACTGAGATGAAATCAAGATTGAACAAAAAAGGGAGTAAAATGATTAAAACTCAAACTCAAGAGGAACTAAGGCAGTGGAAGAACTCAGAACATGTGAGATTCCTTAAATAAATAAAAGTTTATTAACTTTAAATAATTGTGCCTATGTTAAAAATAATAAAAGCCCCTCTATACTTTAAAAAAAAAATTACTACGGGTCTGAAAAAGTGAATAAAATTTTTTCTGTACAGATAAAAATCAGCAGAATGAATTAAATAACACTAATTTTTAACTAAGTTATACCCCTTCTTTCTGGGTGTTTACCTAATCAAATAATAAAAACCACTTATAAAGCTCGGCCGGCGTGGTTTGGTGGCTGAGCATCAAACTATGAACCAGGACGTCATGGTTCTATTCCTAGCCAAGGCACAGACCCAGTTGTGAGCTCTACCCCCAGGGTGGGGCATGCAGGAAGTAGCCAGTCAGATTTTTTCTCATCATTGATTTGCTGATGTTTCTTTCTCTCTCCTTCTTCCTTCCTCTCTGAAATATATACATATATATCACTTATAGAGAGATAAGATGCAGAAGGGAGCCTGAGTGGCTACTAGTTTTTTCAACTTTTCTTGAGTTCTAGAACTGTCTTAATTGCTTCTCGAGTAATAAACCAGTCTCAAATTTAAACACATTTTGGAAAAACATCTCCACTCACAGGAGCACAGGAAAATAAAATTTTAGAAAGCTTAATACTTCAGGTATTCAAAGGTCAGGATAAAGGTAGTCCCCCTCACCTCCCCATCCAACTTCCTCCAAAGAGTGGCCCGAGAGTTCCTTGGTTTGAACCAAGGCTATCCATTTAACCAAGATGCTCAGCTCTGGAGCTTGGATTGGAATCTTGGATTGTTTATTTTCCTCATTTGTTACTTTAAAAATAAAAAAAAATCATCAGCTTACAGGCATTTATTCTAGGCTTAGGGTTTACAGCAATCCACAGACAAGGATTCTACACTTGTGGAAATTACTGTAGAGAATTTTTGTGAGGTTATTTTTAAAAAAATAAATCTTTATTGTTCATATTATTACAAATGTTCCTCTTTTCCCCCCCCTCCATTGCTTTCCTTCACCAGATTCCCACCCCACCCTCTGTTCTTTCCCCACCCCCCATTGTCCTCATCCATAGGTGCACAGTTTATGTTCAGTCTCTTCCTACATGCCCCTCTCCCCTTTTCCCCAAGAATCGTCAGTTCATTCCCTTTCCATACCTCTGATTCTATTATATTCAACAGTTAATATTGTTCATCAGGTGTTTTTTTTAATTTTCTTGGTTTTTAGATTCACTTGTTGATAGTTACAAATTTGTTGTTCATAATTTTTTTAAAGTTTATATTATAGAAGACGCTATTTTTTTAAGCTTTGTGTTTTTTTTAATTTTATTGATTTTTCACAGAGAGGAAGAGAGATAGAGAGATAGAAACATTGATGAGAGAGAATCATCGATCAGCTGCCTCTTGCACACCCCCTACTGGGGATGTGCCTGCAACCAAGGTACATGCCCTTGACCAGAATCGAACCCCCAGGACCTTTCAGTCAGCAGTCCAACGCTCTATCCACTGAGCCAAACCAGTCAATGCTGTTGTTCATAATTTTTATCTTTATTTAGTTTCTCTTCTGAAAGAACCCCCTTCAGCAATTCATATAATTCTGGTTTGGTGGTGATGAACTCCTTTAGCTTTTTTTTTTATTAGTGAAGCTCTTTATCTGGCCTTTGGTTCTGAGTGATAGCTTTGCTGGATAGATCATTATTATTTTTTAAAATATATTTATTTATTTTACACAGAGAGGAATTGAGAAGGATAGAGAGTTAAAAACGTATATGAGAAAGAAACATCAACCAGCTGCCTCCTGCACAACCCCCACTGGGGATGTGCCTGCAACCAATGTACATGCCCTTGACTGGAATCAAACCTGGAACCCCTCAGTCCCCAGGCCGACGCTCTTCCACTGAGCCAAACCGGCTTCGGCTGGACAGATTATTTTTGGCTGTAGGTTCTTACTATTCATCACCTTGAATATTTCTTGCCATTCCCGTCTGGCCTGCCTGGTTTCTATTGAGAAATCAGCTGACAATCGTATGGGTGCTCCTTTATAGGTAACTACCTGCTTTGCTCTTGCTGCTTTTAATATTCTCTCTTTGTCTTTTGCTCTTGGAATTTTAATTATGATTTGTCTTGGTGTGGTCTTCTTTTGTTTGCAGTTCTGTGTGCTTCTGGACTTGTAAGTCTAATTCTTTCATCAGGTGGGGGAAGTTTTCTGTCACTATTTCTTTCAGTATGTTTTCCATATCTTGCTCTCTCTCATCTTCTGGGACCCCCATAATTCTGATGTTGGTTCGCTTGAAGTTATCCCAGAGGTTTCTTACATTATCTTCAATTTTCTGGATTCTCTTGCCTTCTTGCTTCTGCAGAGGAGTGTCTTCTGGCTCTTTATGTTCCAAATCTTTGACTTGATTCTTGCGGTCTTCCATTCTGTTTTTAGGACTCTGTATAATATTTTTTATTTCAGACAATGTATTCTTTGTTTCTTGTTGATCCCTTATTATTTCTTGTTGATCCCTTATTATTTCTAGTTGATCCCTTTTCATATCCTCATAGGTCTTGTTTATTTTATCGGCCTTTTCTAGGAGATTCTTGAACAACCTTATAAGTGTGCTTTTGAACTCTATATCCAGTTGCTTTTTGTCCTCCATTTCTTTCGTTTGTGATCTATTTCGTTGTCTTGACATTTTTGCCGCTTCTCTGATGGGGCAGAGTTTCAGGGTGGAGCCTACAGGCTTGGCTTCTGTCAGCCATGCCCTATGCGGTTCCTGAGTCTCAGTAATCCCCAGAGTCCTTCAGTACTCGCTGCAAGCACCTCTGAGAGAAAGGTGTCCTTGATTTTCGCCTGCTACCAAACAGTGTAGGCTCTCCCCCAATGAGCCCGGAACTGGGGTTCAGTTCAGTTGGAAGTGGGGTTGGAGGTGGCATTCAAAGCAGTCTGGAGCCCCCGTCTCCTTCCCGCCAGGGCAATCCCGCGGCACAGCCAACCGTCCCTTCTCTGTGCTCAATGTGTGCACCTCCGGGACCTCCTTTAGCCGCTCCCCTGGGGTTCCACCTTACAGCCCAGCTCCCTCTATTTGAGCCTGGGTCCCGGGGTCTGGCCTAGAACTGGGGTTGAGAGAAGTCGGAACTGGGGCCCAGCACAGTCTGGAGCCTTTGTCTCCTTCCCGCCAGGGCAATCTGGCAGCAGAGTCAATAGTCTGTCCTCTGCGCACAATGTGCACGCCTCCAGGACTGCCTCTCCACGCGCGCTGCGTGAATCCGTACCTTAGGTTTTTACAGCTTCTCCATTCTTCCTTCTGTTTTTTTTCTTGTTTCTCGTTGTAGAATTTCCAGTCAGTCGACTTTTCTGTAATTCTGGGTAATGTCCATTTTATATTTTAGTTGTATTTTATTGAAATTGTTGTGTGTGGCTGCGGCTATGTGTTTACCTGTGCAGCCATCTTGGATTCTCTCCCCTTGTGAGGTTATTTTAGTCAAACTATCAACAATTGCCAGGAAGCAAAATTTCAATGGGTTGAGAAAATACTCCAGATAATGGCCCACTACAAGCAGAAAGGGACTGTATCAAAAAAGACATAAGTGGGTTATATGAAATCCACTGGTGATAGATTAGGGAGGTAGAAAGCAAAGAAGGAAAAGCCTCTGTGATTGGATAAAAAGTAAAATGATAGCCCTGCTAGCATGGATCAGTGAATGAGCATCGACCGATGAATCAGGAAGTCACAGTTCAATTCCTGGTCAGGGCACATGCCCGGTTTGCAAGGTTGATCCCCAGTGTAGAGTGTAGGAGATAGCTGGTTAATGATTCTCTCTCATCATTGATGTTTCTATTTCTCATTCCCTCTCCCTTCCTCTCTGAAATCAATAAAAATGTATTTTAAAAATAAAAAATATTTTGTAAAAAAGTAAAATGATAGACACATTTGTCTTTTATTAAGGTGGTGCAGAATAGTTAAGTCAACAACACAATAACAAAGAGGACTGTGGTCTCCACCCTGGTACATAGGTTGTGTCTTCAAGGGTCTGGAAAAAGGGAAGTTACCCTGACGTTCCCAAAGGTAAGTTTATGGTTAATGCATAAAGACAATAAATAGGCTTAATTAAGGTGAAGATTGACTTTTTCCCAGGAAGGTTCTAGTCTAGGACATGATTATCTGCCATAAACTGCTTTTAATTAAAAAGTTTTAATTTCACACCATTCTATGTGGTTACTTTAGGTCTCTGCGTTTGTAAGGCCACCATGCAGGTTTACTATGTGGCCCCTTTTCATCCACATTACATTCTGGCAAAGGAAAGCAACAATAATCAGAGAAATAAGATATGATTGCAATGAAGAAAATCAACAGATTCATATGTGAGAAGTGGAATAGAGGTCAGAGAAGTTCTTGCTGAGAAAGTAACATTTTAGCTAAGATCTGTGGGAACATCACAAGAGCCATT